GCAGACGATAAAGAATATATGCCCGTTCGTATTGTCATATTGTCTGTTTTGCTGCACCGTTTGTGTTCAAACAACTGTCGCTTAAAGCAAAGCAGCCAGCTATTTCCGACTGTCCCTATTTCATGATGAAAATGTCTGAAAGTGGGGGTACCGCTATATTACACCCCCCAACCCCCACCCCCCTTGTCGGTATTGCCATATTTCAACTTTGTACGTTCCTGCATATTGGAAATGGATCACTCACTTAATCAGACGTCTTTTTTTTTGTATTCAAGGGGACAATGGGCGCCACGGAGAGCCGCGTTGCGCAAGTGCACGGAAGACCCGTTGAGGGACGTCGTGTACATTTTGTGCGATCTGTGACTGAATGGTTACCGTGGGGATACACCAAACAAATTAGCACTTGATAAGAAGCCCGCCACGCAGTCACGACGAGAACATGTCACTTGTTCTCACGAGCCTTTTCACTCGGCGCCTTGAGTCGATAACACAAGCGCTCTTGTTTAAGCCGTGAAAAATGAGCAGTTGATGCATTTTGGCAGCTATTTTGATTCTTTTTTTTTTTTCCAGAATTTATAGAAATATCCCAGCACTGACACGAATCCCGGTTGTGGTCGCCAAATGATGGAATAGCATCTCTCTGTTGTGTCTTTTTTTTTTTTTTTTTAACACAAGCTTCAACAGCAAGCACGACGGCTTCAATTTAATCACAACTGTTTACAGCTGTCAATAAAAGGACCAACGGCACAATAAATGCATTAAATTGCATCTGGCCTTGTGTCAGGCAAAATAAGGTGAGTGGACAGGCCGCGGTAGGTGACACTCATTTTTTTTTCGGCAGAGGAGGGGGGGATTGTTATTACGCCGCTGTGTCTTGAGGGCCCATATTGGGCCGCTGTCCGTGGGATTTAATCAGCCTCTATTACCTGCTCCCCTTTTCCCGGTTGAAATAATCACCCTCAATTACGCACATAAAAGAGAGGAGAGCCGGCGTCGTCTGAAGCAGACAAATCACACACAAAGTCATTTCTCTCCACCTTGTTGGCTTCTGATGTTTCAGGGTGTGAAATAAAAGGATTGAGGGCTGAATGGCCTGACCCCCGTCACCCCGCCCAGAAAACACACACTCGCGCTGAACATTAAAGCCAACATCAAGCTAAACACTCTTACTGTAGTTGAGTGAACTAGCTTATCGGGTTGGTTTACTCATTGCGGAATATGCCAGAGCAGCGGCACTTTATCCAACTCTTCAAACCACAACACTGTTACATTGAAATTATGAACACTTTGATATTATACTGTATATACACTCTACTCTACAATATTACCCGAAAACGCTATATAACAGGACACAACTGTGTGCCGCATGCCATCTGAAGCAGTTCCGTATCATGACTAAAAGAGTTTAAAGTCCCTGTGAAGTGAAAATAAAATATTTTATACATTTTACACAGCCTGCCTAATTTAAATTAATTAAAAAAAATCCCAATCATACGAAGGTGGGGTTCAGAATCATGAAAAATCAAAACCTTATGATCTATGTTCGCAGACATGCGCATGTGCGCGCGGCATAAAAAGTGGTACGTCTTCATTTTCGTGCTGGGAAAAGTCTACTTGAACATGTTTGGGGATTTAGCAGAGCACGCTGCGCCTAGCTGGGCTTTCCCAGGCAGTCGAGGGCATTTTCTATTAAACGGCCCGGACGCACCTGACAATTGGGTGACAGAAAGTAGACTAGACATCAGACCAGATAAAAGCCGGTCTAAGTCGTGGCGCAATGCGATTTTGGTGAATTTGATCGAGGCGGAGGCAGACAGATTCTGAGCAGACGAGCGTGTGGCGGTTTCATCGTATTTTACTCCAGTATGTACTTTTAATTACACTTTATCAAACCAGTTGATTTCTTTCCGAAGTTGTTTTAGACAGTACAGTGCTATTTTTCACATAAACACGTCCCAATAAAAAAAAAAAACAGGCCTTTTTTTGCAGGCCGGAATTAGAATATCGCTACAATGAATGGGGATCACGACACAAAGTAAAGTTCCTCGTCTGTCAAAATCTGCTGTAAAAAAGGTAATCATGCCAACAAAAGCTCAAACTTTGGCACAGTGCTGTGCAGTCCACGATTTCAATGGCGCACACCACACACGCACACACACACACACACACACACAAGCGGCGACGCTTGCGCTGCGCATAAGTGCGTTTGTTAAGAGGCCCAACAGACGGGAGACACAGGGAGAAAGAGAATCAATTTAACGCGCGAAAGACTCCGAGTCTGATTGCGCAATGTCACCGGGAACCAGATGACGACTGTAAAAGTAGATTGGAAGAGAATTAGCAAGAGAGGAAGGCAGATTGGAAAGTGGAAATGGGAAAAGAGGCGACGCACGCGGGCGCGAACACGCACACACACACAAGCACACACGCACACGCCGTCCTCTCCTCCGCCTGGTCGGGGCGACGCAGGCACCGAACCTTCCTATTGGTCAGGGTGTGGTCAGCTGGTGCCCGCTTGCCTCCACCTCCCATATACCCCTCCGCTTGACACGCGCGCGCACGCATGAGAACGCGCGCACGCATGCTGATGCCCCCCTCGCCCTCTCTCTTTCTGCGTGTTCTCCACACCACCCAGACTCCCCGTGTCCCCTCTAACCCTCATCAACCTCACCCCTCCTCCCAATCTGCGATAAACTAAGTGATAGCAGCAGCCCGTCGAACTGTCGGCTATAAAACACAACAAATCATAAAGTGCAGGCTGGGGAAGCAGATGAAGGAGGACTGGAGGGAGAAGCGTTAGCTGCTAGCCGATAACCCCCTTTCTTCTTCTT